TTTTTTTTTTTTTTTTTTAATGTTCTTGTTTCTTCGTAATATCAATTTTCAGAAAATGATTTATTCGTGTGAAAAGATTCGATAATATCAATTTGGATGGGGATAATGAGATATTTTACTACCATTTATCGTTTCATTCATTGTTATGAAAAAGAAATTTTTGAATCGAACGAAACAAACTTTTTAACTCTTTATTTTTAGTCATATTAATTATAATTTTCAGGCAAAAAATGATTCATTCGTTGAAAAGATTCGCAAATATCAATTGAACGAAAATGAGTGATTCATAATTTTTCGTGAAATATATTAATAAAAGTCGTTCGTCGTTATTTTCTTTTTTATTAAAAAAATTTTCCCCATTTCTTGCACTGAAATTTCACTCATGCAGATTTTATAGTTCAATCGGCGGTAGTGTGTTAGTGTAAAATAAATATTTAGATTTAATTATTTAAAAAGAAAGACTGATAACTTTCCAATAATTAATATTTCCTAGAAGAGAAATTAAACCTTACAATTCAAATGACATTAATTAAAATAAATACATCTATACAACCATATCTCTATTAGTGCTCGTATGCTCGTCTAATTAAGTATAAAAATTCAATAATTCGTTTTAAAATGAGAAATCGAAATAAACTTTGCTTATCAGTAACTTTTATCATTTTCACGGAAGATCGAAATCCATCGCAAAATATCTTTTTGAACATTTATAAAGCACGGTAGAGTGATTCATTGTTATACAAAAAAAAGCGCAACTTTAACTAACAAAATAAAACTAAAAAATAGAAAAAAAAAAAGTTTAACCACAAACATCATCCCAGAAGAAAAAAAATATCGCAACCTGTTTGGCTTCGTAATAAAAATATTCTGTGTGAGAGAAAAGGGAAATAGAGGCATAGAAGAAAAAAAGATGGCGGAACCGGAGAGTAATGGGAGTGCAGGCCTTGGTGTCCTTGATAGCAAGTGCCTTTTGCCAGCATGCGATTGACGTCATCGTTGCTCTACGGTCGACGATTTCATTAATTGTAATCGACGGATAGAGACGAGTGAAAATCCGATTGCCAGCCAATTATAGCAACGCGTTTCTCCCTCGTTCAACCCTGTCACTCCCGCGTCTCTTTCCTCGCTTTTCTTTCCCACCCTCTTTAAAAGCACTTTAAATAGAGTTCACTTTCTGCAATTCGATTTCGTTTAAAATGAATAGTTTCACGTTCTCTTTTTTTTTTAATTTTTTTAAAATAGCCGAGCAGGTAGTGGGCAGTAATGACTATGTGCTTCCTGTTATGGCGACGATTTTTTCACGATCATAGCATACTCTGAATTTTATTGGATGATAAATTAATCTTTTTTTTTTATATATATACATATATGTATAATATTTATTCCCGTGTTAAATATTGAACTGCATTATGCTTATCAGGGGGCAAATAATTTATATAATAGAACTCCACTGATTTTTCTAATAAATAGGAATTTCAAATTCAAATAAGTGAATTTCAACTGGCAAGAGTTTATTCAATCAATTTATGCAATCAATTGTTGACAAAAAGTTAATTTACTTATTAATGGTAACTTGGTCAAATGGAATCCATATGAACGAAGTTTTAATATATTTATCTTAATATCTATATCATCTACATTGTATTCATCTTCAATATAACACATTTCATTGAAATTTGTTTAAAAGAACAAATATATATATTTCAGTTTATATATTCAGCTGTGAAACATTGAAGGGGGGGGGAAAAAAAAATCGAACAAGAACGTGGCTATTTTCTGTCTGGCGAAACAGAGAAAAAAATCTTCCGAGACGAAAGATACCTTGTTTCGTTTCCTCTCGCAGAAGCAAGGCAATAAAACTTGAAAAGATGATTAAAACTTGAAAAGTTTTTTTCGCATCACGTGGCAACGAAGGTGACTCTGTTGAACACAATTCCGTGACGGCAATGTCATCAGCGTCCCTTTCGATGGCTCTTGTGCAAGCATCTGTTTCATCACCGTATTTGTCCACGTAATACGGATATTGTTAGTCGATCAGTGACGCGTATTGTTACATGCGAAACTAATAACAAACGAGGACGAGAAAGAGAAAGAGAAAGAGAACGAGACGAGAGAAGAATCTCGCGGTGTGGTTCAATTGTCGAAGAAATCACACACAATTGGCGAAACCCAAGT